AATGGAGGTTACATGCAGACTGGAGGCCCCAGTCATCTGAAAAGGACAAAGATACTAATAGAACCGTAAAGGTCACTTTAGCTAAACCATGCCAGGAAACTCATGAAAGCTGGCTAAAGTGCCTCTCCATCACACTAACATGACTTCAGCTGGCACCAAAAGGGAAAGTGAGACTTAGCCTTTTTGAATTACTATATGGAAGAGTTTACCCTGGCAAAATGGAACCTTTGACATGCCCTGATGGTGAGACTGAGGGATGTAAAACATATTGTGTATTTAGGAAAATTAATACAAGCTCTCAAGCAATATGTGAACCTGTCTTCCAGTTCCCACTGATGTTAAGCTTCACCCATATCAACCTTGAGACTGAGTTCACCTTAAGACTTGGACCTCTAAATCACCTCAAGACCAGCTAAATCCTGTCTGGATGGGGCCCTACCCTGTGCTGATAACCACTCACTCTTCTCTTAAATTGCAGGGGCTCAGACCCTGGATCTATCATTCCAGAATGAAGCCTGCACCAGCACCCTCAGACCAGGCTTCATTAGATCCAACTTATTCCTATGATGAACTGGCCTCTGATCGTAAGCTCCTCTTCTACAGAAGGGGCATAGATAAGTAAAATGTGCCCTTGCAATGCTCTCGATATATTAGGAATTTCTTCATTTTTAGAGGAATCTCTATGCTCTTTTACATTCTGTAAAAACTCTTAACTGCTGCTAAATCATCATATAGTATATACAATGAACTTGGTCCCTCTCTACTGGTTAGTTCCTTTTATTACCATGGCCAGTGGTCTCTGGGAAGACAATACAACAGTTTTCCCCACATCGCAGTGAAGGGAAATAGCCTGTTCCAATGCTGGATATGCTATAGACACTCACAAGCTTGGTCTGCCCAAGTGACAGGACTTGTGGCAATCCTCACATTTCACTCTCACCCACAGAACTGGAGCAAGCTCCCCTTCCCTGGGGTTACCCTCTTCCCAGAAAGTGAGGAAATCCCTTGCATCATGTTGACTAGCACCTCTATAGCAAATGTCATCTAGGTGTCAACCTTGCTAAATGGCTCAGCCTTACAGCAAGTAGGCAGAAGCTGTGAAATTCCTCCAGGGCAGACTTACTACACTGAGACAGGACCAGACACAAAACAGAGGTAACTGGTCTCCTTGAACACTACCACCTGTCACCCCAATATAAATTATTGGTGTCCTGACATGAACATCACTAAAAAATATTGGAGACAGAGCAGTAAATGCAGTTCATGGTGAGGAATACCAAGCCCCAGTTTCTGGTACACCCAGGTAAACAGGCCAACAGCTTAGAAGAATAATATCTCAGCTGACTGCAGGGATAGGGACCACCTGTGGGGTGGGACTGCCTCCCCTTATGCAAGAATAATGGCACCTGGAGCCAAATAGCACAACTATTAAATGTCTTTTTTCTTGAGATAGCGTCTTGCTCTGATACCCAGGCTGGAGTACAGAGACACGATCTCAGCTCACTGCAACCTCCGCCTTCTGGGTTCAAGTGATTCTCCTGTCTCAGCCTCCTAAGTAGCTGGGATTACAGGTGCACACCATCACACTCAGCTAATTTTTGTATTTTTAGTGGAGATGGGGTTTCACCATGTTGCTCAGGTTGGTCTCGAACTCCTGACCTCAAGTGATCTGCCTGCCTCGGCCTCCCCAAGTGCTGGGATTACAGGTGTGAGCCACTGCGCCCACCTAAATATCTTTATCCCCAAATGAGTATGTGCCCCTCAGGGGGCATGTGTTGGTCTGTGGGTCCCCCACAAACATCTACCCCACGCCTCTTTGCCCCCAGGTTCCTTCCCTTTACCCCACTTGGCATCGCTCATTCCTGCATGGAGAACATTTGGATGGAAGGACAATGTACAATTGGCCTGCGGGCCCCTCTGATATTGAGGCTGCTGAGGTGGGTCTACTACAAGTCAGGTCAAAAGAGCAATGAGTTTAATTCTGTGGGGGATGGGAGCAGCATCCAGGATGGCTGCTCTTTGGGGATACGCTTATCATGAAACCACTGTAAAAAACTGGACTAGAAAACTTGAGTCTTTAGCATCCTCAGTTGACTCCTTGGTTACTCTGGTGCTAGGTAACGGTATAGTATTAGACAATCTTTTAGTGGAACAGGGAGGAGGGTGTGCAGTTACTAATTCCTCTTGCTGCCCCTGAGTAAACACCTCAGGGGAAAAAGAAGTTGACATTAGGGTCTATGCCCAAGCCTCTTGGTTACACACTTATAATCCACAGGGCCATAGTTCTGACTCTTTTTGGGAAGCTACCAAATGGGCAATACTAATTACTTGGTAATACTCTGCCCCTGGTAGAACCACTAACTTTATTGTTTATACTACTGCTGTTTGGTCCCTGGATCTTAAATCTCTTGGTAAAATTTGCATTTTCCAGATTAGAAAAATTTCAACTGCAGCTTCCAACAACAATACCAGCCTTTGCAGCCTATCCTGGGAGACCTCAAAACACATTTAGATTTAGTGTCTAGAGATCTTCACTCCCCTAATATCTCTGGACACAGTATCCCTAATCAGCATGAAGTTACAGAAGAATGACCTCTCCAGAATGAGGAGTGACATATCTCTAGGGGAGGAAATTTGTAGGCCAACAGGGAGGGAATCCAGGGAGTACAGGAATTTTGTAAATTCAAGCAATCAGCCTGTTTTAGAGCCTCTTGTCTTGAAGCCAGTTTTATCCCAAACCCTGTGTGAAATGTGGTCACCTAGTTGGTTGGAACCAGCCCCCGAGAGACCCCGACAACTTACACATGAACCCCAGTGAACGTTCCCCATGACCATGCTAAAGCCTGCACCCCAGGAGACCTGTAGCTTCATTACCATAACATGCGACCTGTGTGCTGGCACCTGACTCACTGCATCTGTGCCACTGGGAACCCTCCTCTACATGCGATGGTGCACCCTCTCCCGTCTTCAACACCACATAAAGCCCTCCTGTCATTTTCTCTTGGGAGATAATGCTTTGGAGAACACTCCCAGTGCTCTCCTTACTTGTGACAGGTAATAAAACTCCTTTGTTCAAAACCTGCGCTCTCATGGAAAGTCATCTGTTACTTGCCAGGGGAATAAATCCCGGTTTCTTTTTGTTTTGATAACATCAAGACAATGTTCCAAACAATCATTCATTTGATTATTCCAAACAGTCATTGGGAACATACAAAACGCATTGTGATTTACAGTTACAAGACTGCTTTCTTCATAGATCCTCTCCCCCAAAAATACCTGCATGGTGGTCTTTGCTGGCGAGAGGCTGAATCAGAAGCTGCCCTCAGGGAAGGGGACTGACTGAGGAGGCTGGAGTCTCACCTCCAGGAGGGAAGAAGGTGGTGCCTCCCAGGTTAGGTGTGATCTAGGCCTAGGATGAAGCAATTCAAAAGTGAATCTCACCACAGTTCAGAACCAGGGGCAATGATGCAGCCTCCGCTTGGGCTTCCTGCACCTGTGCAAGAACAAAAACCAAACCAAAACAAAACAAGAGGCTCAAGGTCCTGCCACGCATGGGGAAAGTCTGACGGCTACAGGAGTGGCTGCACGAGGTGGTGACTCTGTGGTTTGTAGCAGGTGCTCTCAGCCCACACAGAACTGTGTAGTGTGGGAAGCCATCCTGAGCGCCGGGGCAGAACGGACACTGAGGGAGTCCCTGGGATTGTGAGGCTGATGCCTGGATTCTTCAGCCTGCACTCAGCCAAAGGTCTCCTGACACAGGACAGGCAGGAAGACTGCAGTTGTGAGACTCTCCACAACACATCCCCTTCCTGCCACCTTCTGCATGGTTGGTGGCCTGGGGGAATACTGCTATAATGTGAAAGCAAGTCCATAGATTTCTGGTTTAAAGGAACCCAGTGGAGATGCTAATGAGTTCTCCTGAGGAGCTGGCTGGCAACTGCCACCTGGGCCTCCCAGGACCAAATCTAACTGTCCTGGGAAGGTGTCTGGATGCCACAGCCTTGGGTCTAGAGAGAATCATGCTCATCATTCCTCATCAGACTCCATCTTGCCCCTGTGTTCTTTGCAGACCCAGATTTGAGACAACAATTTGTTTCTACTCTGAATAATAATGTCTCATAAGACGTGGAAATAGTCACATTGTTTTAGAGATTATGTAAAGAGGGGCTTAGCGGTATTAACCCTCTCATTTTACAGGTAAATTGGCCAAAAGTGCTTAATTACCTTGCCTAGCAAGAAAGAGAAGAACTAGCAGTTGACCTCATGCACCATGGGTTCTTTTCCCAGTGTCCTCTTCCTGGCAGGGAACCCAGGGGGCAGGATCTGAAAGCTCTGAACTGTGCTTCAGGGCAGGGCCTGCTTGGATCCAGCCTCCCAGGAAGCCTTCTTAGCGGACGACTGGCCCTTGCCAACCTTAGTACTGGGATTTGCTGAACTTAGAGTGAGGCTGTTGAAAACCTTCCTCCATCACTTTGGGCCTCAGCTGTAATTTCAGGCCACATGAAAAAAAAAATCCTGTTACATTCTGATGCAGTTACTGGGTTAAGTGCTTTATCTCAGTCATTGACTCATCTTTTTCAGAAGTTGTCCTTCTTTATGTTGTAAGTGTTGGGTTCACGTGTAATGATAAATGGTCTGAGGCTTTAATCCCAAAACTGAGAGTGTGGGTGGAGGAAGATCTGTCAGCCAAGGCTGGTGGCCTTTCTCCCCAGCCCACACAGAGTCCCTGTGGGAGCTGGACTGGGGCTGAGAGGAGGCTCTGGATCCAAGATGCCTCTCCTGCAGCAGTCTCTGGGTGCACCCGGTGGGCATCTAACCAGACACCCTCTCCTCAAAGCCCACAACAGTGCTCCCACTACAGCACATTGTGTTTCTAAAGAGACAGACTACATTTCATTCTGAAAGCCCATTTTCCTCAACTGATGCATTTAAACACCTCGGTGGAGACAATGCATAGCTCCTTGCACCTCTTCAGATGGGAAAGAATTGTTCACTATGAGTTAATCTAAAGTTTTTATTTTCTAAAAGTATAAAAACACATACAAAAAGGGACTCACTCTTGAGAACTGATTATATCATTGTAACACAGAGCCCAATGGACAGGCCACTATGAAGAAAGTATTGCTCCCAAACCATTAGGAAATTTAATCACCACTCTGCTCCAGACTCTTTAGAAGGTACTATTTCTGAAGTACACAAGGACAAAGAATAAGCTTTATTCAATCAGACTCACAAAAGTAAGGATTGTGCTTCTCTAGGTTCATAAAATAGAATTCCAAGGCTCTGAGGAAAATAAACTTGTGTCAGTCCCAGGGAACTTTTCTCCCCAGAAGTTGATTGGTCACTCTCTGTAGAAGAAAGAAGAGGCAGGAAAGAAGTTAGATATTATTGTCACCAGAGGCAGATGCCACTCCTCCCCGCAGCCATGTCACCAAGGAGAATCGGTGTGGTCCTACTCAAGTCTTGTTCATTTTACTCTGCTTCAGAAACTATGGTCATCATATAAAAAATGCTTCCTGAAAGGTTCAGGAAAGAGGATCTGTAATCAATATCTATTACTTCTATACAGACACAGATAACCCATCAGTTCCCACATACAGCAGCATAAGGAGAGGCCTGGCCCTGCGATGCTGACGCAGCAGACAGGCAGTGTGGTGCCTGGGGCCTCCCACCTGAGGCACCCGCCTGGGTTCTGGGGCCTGCTCCAGAAGCAGCTCCCATCCCACATCAGTGCGGTGACTGAGGGGGTGAGAAGGAAACAAGTACAGTGAAGAATATGGCCCTTCAGGCACAGGAACCGATCTGGGTTCTCAGAGAATTAACTGGTAGCACCAATGCTGTCCCGTGAGGTTCTTGGACTTAACAGCACCGCTGACTCCACTGGGACTATGGGCAGGGAATGGTGACAAGTTGGAGGCCTCGGGCCATCCAAGTGGACAACTCTTATGCCTCAGTCAAACATTTTCCAGTTTAACAGTTCTGGAGGTATCTGACTCACCAGTAAGGGGCATGAAGTCACCACCTGGGACTCTGGAATGGAAACCTGATAATTCTGATATTTCCACCGTGATATGTTAATGAACTCCTGTGTGTGAAATTTGGTTTCACTCCAAATTAATGCATGGAAAGGGCCTTACACAATTATGGATGGGGAGCTAAACCTGATTTGAAGTCTAATTACAGATGCCTTCTTCCAAATTTCAATACTGGTCTAGTGCATTCTAAGTTCATTCCTCAAATGTGGTTCATTCTGACTGTATACTCAAGAGGCAACATGTTTTCTCCATTTCTCTTTCCCCCAATAAACCTGATAGATCCCACTATAGACAGAGGACCCACTGACCTTTTTATATAGCTGGGCTCGCAGTCGGTATGACTTATATTCTGATTTTCTCTTCTCTTCTTCTCTCTTTTTCTGTACTTCTGGAAGCTGCTCATAAATCCTTAGAAATGGCACCAGCGAAAGGACAGAAAGTGGGGAGGTTACCAGGGTCCAGAGGCACAAGATCTCCTGTCACCATCCCTCCCTATGCCTCCCACTCTCCAGGAGCTCATCCCTCCCAGAAAGGCCGTGGGCCTCGTTAGAAACTCCAGCACAGAGAACTCTGGCCTGGGGGCTCACAATCTGGAAGGGGAGAGAGAGAAATACAAACACAATAAAATCCTAATAGTGCTTATGTCTGGGAAAGGAGTGGGATAAAGTGGGGAAAGGAGTGAGATAAATCAGGGAAAGGTGAACTTCTGCTTTCTACTCTACATGCAAAAATGGATTGTTTCAATATAAGATTATGAACAATGTTACTATTGTATTTGTAAACACTAGCAAAATTATGGGAAAGTACTAAAATGGTCACATCTATAAATGTTCTAGAGAAGAAACATAGTCTTATAGAAGGAGGCTGGGAAAGGCTCCAGAGACGAAATTAGAGGTAAGTTGGGTCTTAAGAGTAGATAGGAGTGCCAGGTGTGGTAGCTCAAGCCTGTAAACCCAGCACTTTGGGAGGCAGAGGCGGGTGGATCATGAGGTCAGGAGATCAAGACCAGCCTGGCCAAGATGGTGAAACCCTATCTCTACTAACACTACAAAAAAAAAAAAAAAAAAAAAAAAAAAAAAAAATTAGGTGAGAGCATTGGCAGGTGCCTGTAACCTCAGCTACTCAGGAGGCTGAGGCAAGAGAATTGCTTGAATCTGGGTGGCACAGGTTGCAGTGAGCCAAGATTGACCCACTGCTGCACTCCAGTGGGGCGATAAAGTGAGACTCCATCTCAAAAAGCAAAACAAACAAACAAAAAAAGGTAAGAGCAGAAAGCGAATGGGGAGAAGGGCAAAAGACACTCAAGGCAGGGAAAATGGGTATTGGTAAAAATGGAGTCGAGGCTTCCTGAAAAAGAGTGTAAAGGAATAGGTGGGAAACAGGCAGGGTGAGGGTGAGGCGGGCTGTGGAGCATCTTGTGGCCACGTGAAAAACATGGGATCTGTTCTAGCAGGGGTTGGGTGGCAATGATTTTAAGTTGGGAGAAACACAAATGTGCATTTGATAAATGCACTCTCATTGTAAATACGTTTCCAACAAAACAACAGTTAAATAGATTATGAAGTATAATGGAATGTATATGTTACAAGTATGTTCCATGTACATGAAACAAAAGTTTCAGAATTTTGAATGTCATAGGAAAGGTTCACAACATAATGTTGAGTAAAATAAAGCAAGATACAAACCTGTATATGCAGTATGATCTACAATTTGAGGGAAGAAAGTGTGTGTTATGCAGGTCTCTGCAAAATTCCCACACCTCCCACCAAAAATAGGACTAGTATTATGTTTAGATGGAAGGATGATAAGTGATATTCATTTTCTTTTTTCTACTTTTCTCTATATTTCCCAGAGTTTTCTATAATCTGGAAAAAACAAATCACTAGATTGATGCAGGGCTCCACAGGAAACATATTAGAGAAGGTGAAGGTGTCTCCTGAAGGCCACTCTGGAACAAGTACTTCCAAATAAAAGAGCTATGTTCTTTCCTCTTGAAATCTTTCCTTCTCACAGGAACCTTTAAATATCTTTCGTAGAGACAGATGATAACAAAAGATGAGTAACAGAGGCTCCAGAGATACAAATCCTTAATAGGACAAAATTGAAGGCCAAACACCGGGCTCTAACCCCAGCTGTGACCCTAACTTGCTGGGTCTGGGTTGTACTTTCCTAAATATTAAGAGTTACTAGAAGATAGTTAAGATTCTCAGATGGAAACAGATCACTTCCTTGAAAAGAGGCCACATAAGAAATAAACATGAATAGAAGCAACCTAATGATAATGTACCAGTTTAAAAACTCAAGTCTCTCCAGAAGATGGGCACTAAATCCACTCATATAAGTATATTTCTGGTTGAAAGCATTGATACGTTATAGGAGACGTCCTGCCTGTCTTCCTGTAGCCAAGCTTCCTAGGCCCTTACAGCAGGGACTGCTCTTGCTGAGGTGAGAGTATAAGTAGCGGCCCCACAACAAACCCTGTATAATTTCCCTAATTTCATTTTGTGACTGAGTTAGAATGAAGCAGTGGTTCTCAAATATTTTAGACTTAGGACCCCCTTCACACTCCTAAACAATGAAGATCCCAATGTAGGTTTTATCTACTGATACTGTATTAAAAATTAAAATTTAAAATTAAGAAAAACTTTATTTTTTAATTCACTTGAAATAAAAATAAGCCTGTGACACACTAACATAAGAAACCTATATTTTTAATGAGAAATAAAGATGTTTTGCAAACCAAAAAATTTTAGTGAGTGGCACTGTTTACATTTTTTTGAAAACTCTTTAATGTCTGTTTTAATGGAAGACAGCTGGACTCATATCTGCTTCTGTATTAAGTATGCTGTCCCTTCTTGCTCTGGTTAAAGTATGCATTAAAAAAATCCAGCTTACATATAGATTGTCCACGTACTTGGAAACGAGAGAAGTTATTGCACTATTCTTTTCAGGTAACTCTTGATTCTCTTTGATACTACACCCAAACTTGATAAGTGAGAGTTTCTGTTCTTTTTTTTTTTTTTTTTGAGACAGAGTTTCGCACTTGTTGCCCAGGCTGGAGTGTAGTGGTGTGATCTTCGCTCACTGCAACCTCTGCCTCCCAGGTTCAGGCAATTGTCCTGCCTCAGCCTCCAGAGTAGCTGGGATTACAGGTACCCGCCACCACGTCAAGCTAATTTTTGTAGTTTTAGTAGAGAAGGGTTTCACCATGTTGGCCAGGCATGAACTCCTGACCTCAAGAGATCTGCCCACCTTGTCCTCCCAAAGTGCTGGGATTACAGGCGTGAGCCACTGTGCCTGGCTGACAAGTGGTAGTTTCTTAAAAATTAGTTGCAAGGCAGAATCTGAAAACATGTCAGTAAACTTTTCCTATTCTGTTACATAAATATCCATCAGTCTACCTTGTACTATTTGAATGAATCTTCTATTCCCTGATTTTGTAACAAAAAGCAACAATCATTTGGAAAATCCTGGTCCAGGGAGTTATGCAGCTTTTCCAAATGTTGACAAATTTATTTAGGTAACATGAAAACCATCACATTTGTTAACGTCACTGCTTATCTCATCAGAAAGGTCTAAGTACTAAGAAGTCGTCAAGCCCATGGTGGTCAACACAAGTTTTCTAGAATTCTGTTGCTGGCGTGAAAACTCACATTTTCTTTGGCAACAGATACCGTTGGACATTTTCCTGAAGTCACAGACTCACTTTTTCATTTTCAAGAAAATGTCTGCTACAAACACAAGTCACAATAATTGGTTTTCTGTCAGTTACTCTTTCAAGTAAAAGTCACGTTCCATGAAAAAGGCAGCTGGTTCAGCTCACGACACAAACCATGGCATAAGTGCTTTTCCTTGAAACAGTCATCATCTTTCACTGTGCAAAGGAAGTGCTTCCTGTGTACCTCCATTTACACTGTTTCCTTGTTCTTCCATCACACTCCTGGTGGGAGGCTGTGCAGGATACAATGCCTACTAGACTAGTATCCTTTGGTGCCACTGTCTTGAATAGTGATAAGACACCAATGGTTTTACTCCTCTCCCATTACTATTGTATCTTTGGTGCAAATAGCCAACACAGCAAAAAAGGCACAGAACATCCTAGTGTCATTCTGAAATTAATTTTGACCTTGCAAATCGCCTGAAAGGGTCTCAGCAACTTCCAGGACTCCATAAACCCCTCTCTGAGAACCACTGGACTAAAGCATCTAAAGTATTCCTTTGGATTGCCTATAAGGGCTGACTAGATAGAGAGTAAAAACAAGATTTCAAGATGAATGCTTCAAGTCCATGAGATAAATGGTTTTAAAGCACCGTTACTTCAGAAGCATTATGCCAACTAAGAAACTATTCTTATTAAAGCAAGTCTCCAATGAATGCCTAAAAAAGTCAACCTTAACTTATTCTCTGGCATTCTCATGATCAATATATGAATATCTGAAATGAATTAATTTTTTAAAAATTTATTTTATTATTTTTTAGATACAGAGTCTCAGTTCGTTACCCAGGTCGGAGCATAATGGTGTGATCATAGCTCACTGCAGTCTCAAATTCCTGGGCTTAAGAGATTCTCTCACCTAAGACTCCTGAGTAGGCAGAATTACAGAAATGTACCACCACACCCAACACTCAAATCAATTAATTAATGAGTAGCTAATGTTCATTCATCATGGCACAAAATTCGAAAATTATAAAAAGTCAAAAAATCTACTATATCAGTTCTCCTTTCCAAAGGCAATCAGTATTATCAGTTTTTTCTGTCTTCCAGAAATAGTCTATGCATCTAAAAGTATACACATCTACATAGGCACAAATACTTATTTTTAAAGACCACAAGTGGTAACAGTGTTCACATGCTTCGAAAATTTAATTTTTAAAAAAAGTTTAACTTAATGTATTCTGGAGAACACTGTTATTTCTCACCTTATTGGATCAATTTCTAGAAATGGGATTGCTAAAATAAAAGGTGAGGCCCAAAAACTTATTTAATTTTATTTCAAAATAATCTTTTTTTTTTTTTTTTTTTTTTTATGATGTAGTCTCACTCTGAGACTACCAGACTGAAGTACAGTGGCGCCATCTAAGCTCACTGCAACCTCTGCCTTCCAGGTTCAAGGGATCCTCCCCGCTCAGCCTTCCGAGTGGCTGGGATTACAGGAGTGCACCACCATGACCGGCTAATTTTTGTATTTGGAGTAGAGACAGGGTTTCACCAAGTTGGTCAGGCTGGTCTCGAACTCCTGACCTCAAGTGATGCGCCTGCCTCGGCCTCCCAAAGTGCTGGGATTACAGGCGTGAGCCACCGCACCTGGCCTAAAATATTCTTTATTTAAATTTAGGTTTCTAATAAAGAGGATCCTAAGCATGCAAATCAGTGAGGAGTTTTTCATCTTTTGCGAATGAGTCATTCATACCATGATGTGCTATTTTTTTTTTCAGTGCCATAAGTGAGAAATGACTCTCACAACTTTCTCATAATGTTTAAACTTGAGCATAATGCCTTTATTCTGGGTGCAAGCCAGAGCTCCTGACCACTTGTTGGCCTGTTTTACACTTGTATACATACTCTTGTTTTCTTGGTCTTACCGTTTGGACCTCTGAATCATTTCCTTCTTGCTGATAGGCTTGCTCTTCTGGACAGCCAGGAAGACTAAGCAAGAGAAGAAAGGGTTTTCAGTGGGCTGTGACTTAACCCAGAGGGTGTGGTGCAAGCGCTGGGAGAGGGAGCTGCTAGGACTTCGTGCCCCTACTCTGAGCTGGCAAGACTGGGTGGGGAGCAATGACCAAGGCAAGCCAGGGTTAGACTAGGGTAACAGGGACAGCAGCCTAAGGCCCTAAGGACCTAACACTCTGTAGCAAAGACTAGGCTTTGAATTAAAAAACTGGCCAGTTTCCAGGTAAGGTAAGGTTGGATGAAAGAATTAGATAGTGCTTTGTAGTCTTCACAGCTTTCATTATTTTATCAAGGTCTGATTATCATAATTGTTAAGAATGCAGACTCCACAGCAGCACACCTGGGTATGTCATCTTGGGAGAGGTACTTAATCTCCCTTTGATTCAGTTTTCTTACTATAAAGTAAATATATTAATAGTATCTACTGAGAATGTTGTAAGCGCTAATGTGAACAGTGCCTGGGCAAGATGTAAGGACTAGGTGTTTATTATTAGTAGTATTCTAATTATTATCATCCTAAGAGGTAAGCAAGCCTGGAATCAGCCCCATCTTTTCAGGAAAAATCAATATACTTTTGGAACTAACTTGCTCACAGACACAAAGCTGGTTTAAGACGCAGGGACAGGGCCAGAGTAACTGGGCTTAGTTGGATCATGAATGTGCCGAAGGCTAAGCTGGGGAGGTTCTGATAGCTAAGGTTTGAGTCTTGGCAAGCAAAAGGTCGCTGTCTGCCCATGTAACTGGCCTGGCCTGGCCTTTAGCAGGGCTCTGCAGCACAGCAGCAGACCTTGCCTTCTCTATTCCACTCATAGGAAAGGGAACGGGCAGGGTGTACCTCTCTTGGGCAGCGGGCGCATGCGATTCTGGTGGCCCTGCTGTTCCCTGTCAATATTGAATAGCACATCCCGCTCGCTCTGTAACATGCTCTGCAGCTTCCTCTCCTGGACTATTAACTTCAGGCGCTTTATCCGCTCCCCAGAGCTGGAGATGAAGTCAGGTCTGTGAAACTGAAGCGATTCCTTAAAAAAAAAAAAAAAAAAATAGAGAAAATGCCCAGCCTCACATTAAAGATGCAATCTACTCTCCAAATGCCTGGAAAAACACCACCTGCCCAGGAGGTATGGGGAAGCCTGATTCAAATGCCGAAAAAATATCTAGAGTTGAAAAATCTCCCGACACCTCTCTGCGGGGGATAGCTCCAGCTTGGAACCCGCAGTGAACAAAGACATGCCTTCAGCATAGGCCAGGAACTAAGACTATGGCGATTACAACTCTCCAAAACATCAATGCAATACAGCTCTGCCTACAGTGCTATTTTGAAGATCTATTCAAACAAATACATCATTAATAACATTTCCTTTATCCCCCAAGGGACATATCAGAAGAGACTTGGTTTCCTTTAAATCTGACATGGAGCAGAAACAGCAGTTGAGGACATGAAGGAACACGCATGAGGCCACACAAGCGTCAGGCCTTTGGGCCCTCCACACACAAGGACCCACAAGGCCGACAAGCAGAACTGCAAATCCTCCCTCCTGTGGCCTTGTCCCCAGATCCTGAGGGTGATGCACCATCTATGGTTAAGAGTAAGGCAGCCTTTGATGGACGATGAGAAATCCAGCCCTCATGCGTGAAAACAGGTGAACTGCAGAGGTGCTAGAAAAGAGGGTCTCGGGCCTACACCTCAGCTCACCAAGTGACACAGCCAGCTTCTCTGTGCCTTGCCCTTCTTCTCCCTACACCTAACTTTAGTAGGGCTAAAGTTAAGTCAACGTCACTACACCTGCAGGGTTGCTCTCACAAACGGCTTCAGTGGGTCTCTGCCATCCTCTCTGCCTGGGCCTGCCAGGGAGCCCCGACCGTCCAGGCGCTGCCCCTGCCAGTTCTGCTCCCGCAGTGGCTCCCTCCATGGCTTGGTCTTGGTTATTGGTTCAAACCAGGAGACGCCAGGGCCCCAAGTCTTGGGCATATTTTCCTTCTTTGATCCAGACTCCACATTTTCCACAGGAACAAACCAGGAAACTCCTACAGGAAATAGTTTTTAGAAGGAAAACAGATTTTTCACTTTTTTACAGTACCACCCAGCTCTCATCAAGGACATGCATACAATAGAGTCTCTCAAGGGTCTCAGTTGTCAGCGGCCACAGGGTGCCCTTGAGTCTGGTTTCACTGCAGGGATGACTGTGTAACTGCAGTGCTGGACTTTGAAAACCTGACAAGGTGGTGGCTGGGGGTAGGTGGGGACCATATAGAGTCACTTGGAAACACACAGTCAGCATCGCAGGGGACTTGAAATTCACTAGTTTCTTTACTACAAGATCTGGAATGAGAAACTGACCTTCATGGGAATTCTTCTTGTTCTTTTTTAACTTTCTGTCTCCAGGATAACTGGTAAAGAGCAGTTTTTCTTCACGTTTTTCTTCTGACCAAGAAGTCACATCACTGTCCTCTTCCAATTTAGCCTCGCTGGAACTTGGAGTTGGGAAAGTTATCCCAACATCTCGAGTGTGTTTTTTGGCACCGTTCACAATCTCCAAGTTACCTGAGGGGAAGGATCATAGGTGTCTCTGGGAGTAACCTTGAGGCTGAGTTGACAGGTTTATTCAAGTGAGTACGTGAACCCTTTTTAATGTTTCAAAAATACAATCCCTTTGTGTGGGATGGAGGGATGGGAAGACAGAGAGAGGAAGAGAAGGAAGGACAGGAGAGAGCAGGAGGGGAAAAGAAGGAGAAGAAAAAAGAAAGGGTTTTATTTGTAAGTCATTTTAGGTATTAGAGGGAAAGAAGAACAAAAATGGGTTCAAAGGGTAAAGGATTTCAATTCTGATCCCAAGTCAGAAAGACAATAAATACTTAGATTCCTTTTGGTAGTCACCCAGGTAAGGGAGAGGTTGACAGAAGACAGGATTTGAGGGGAAGAAACAAATCAAGATGAAAGTTTATTTATTTTTATTTTATGAAACCAAAAGGAATAGAAAGGCAATAGCTAAAAATCCTCCTTCCTACTTCTGGTCTTCATATATTCTGTTCACAACCCCCTATGGTTCCAGAGAATTCATTTGGCACATTTAAGCAATTCTCTTCCCTCCTTTATTTCTTCCATTAAAAAAAAAAATTCATATTGTAGTATGCTATACACTGTTCTGTACCTTTCCTTAAAATCAATTATATGCCTTGGAGATCTTTCCATGTTAGTAGAGAGAGAGCCTCCTCATTCTATGCAGAATTTCATTCATTGTCTAGATATACAATAATTTATGTAATCATTCAGTTATTGAGGAACACCTAAATTCATTTTAATCTCCTGCTATAAATGATGTTTTAGTGGTTAATTTTGTACACTATTTTGCACATATGCAAGTATATCTTTAGGTTAAATTCCACATATTCATAGTATATAGCAGACATTTCTTTTTTTTTTTTTTTTTTTAAATTTATTTATTTATTTATTTATTTATTTTTTTAGCAGACATTTCAAAAGTAAAAATGCTGAGTGAAAGTAATTTTGATAGGAACTTTCAAATTGTCTTTCATAGTGAACCAACTTCTACCCTCACTGGAATATACAAGGGAACCCACTTCCCTACACTCTTGCCCACAAACTTGCCATCAAACTTGAATTTTTGCCAATCTGATAAGATGAAAACTGGCACTTGGATACAGTTTTATCTTCATGTCCTTTATTATGATTGAGGTTGAGTATCTTATATGTTTAAGAGCCATTTCAATGTATTTCAATGAAAAAGTTTAGATTCAAGTAATTACCTGCTTGTATGCCCTTGTTTAACATGTGTGCATTTTGCTTGTTGCAAAAAGTAGAGTTCAAGCTCAGGAAACTACTGGCAGAAGAGGAAATAGAGTCAGAAGAAATCACATGGTTTGCTACCTAGAAAAATAAAATAGACCTTGTTATTATTACCTGCAGTCAATGTCACAGTTACCCACAGGATAAGCAAGCCAACAAGTCCTCTTTCTAATCCAATTCAAACTGTTGAGATGCATTTAGAAGAAGCTTGAGATACTGTGAACATGCTGCCTTGTATCTGTGATAGGGAGAATGTTGTAGTTGGATAGGACTGAAGCTGTTGTAAGGTGGTAAGACAAAAAAAGCCTGGCTATTTTCACTGGGCTTGGAAAAACTCTGAAGAGAATGCTAGCCAAACATTAGTCTGATGTATCTTCAGAATGAAACTCTGAAGTGACACCTGCATATAATTTTCATGTGAGATAAAGAGGGCTGGAGATAGGTAAAAAAAAAAAGTGATGAACTGAAGACAGTGCTCTCCAATTAAGAGCTGACTTAGACACGTATATTAAGACAAACACCAAAGACCTGCAAGGCTCGTGAGATGTCCTGATGAGTAGAGTATTGCAAAAAGTATTAGAGAGTCCCAAAGCCCTTTTAATTATGTTCTGAGCAAGTAGAGCAATGAAGGCAATTTCTGAGATTGCAGCTGATGGTGGAATGTCGGTAGATGACAAAAAGATTAACAAGATATAGCTGAACACAATATTATAGTGTAAAATAGTACTTCTTAAAATTGTTCATTGTTAATATCTCCATCGTTAATAAGGACAGAGGGAGGCTAACCCAGAATGATGAATTGGAATCTCTAGGGGAAGGGTCTGGGCATCTATATTTTGAATAAATGCCAGGGAATTTTCTACTTAGGCAGGTCTGGTGGAGGTAAATTAAAGCCTGGGTAAGGATGGGAAACTGAGGATATCTGATCCGTTGAGCTAGATAAACCATATTCCAGAGTCACAAAGAAACTTGTAACAGAATTTTGGTGAGGAAGATCTATATTAGACAGTTGAAGAAAGGAAATACTTTGTCAGAAAGGTAGGCATTGCAAACTAGTGGGATGAACACTGATGACATGTAAAACTTAGGATGCATTATGAATCAGATAATTTGCTAGGAACTGTTCAAAAAAACCATGAGCAGATTTAAGTCAGGCTCAGTCAGGCAGGCAGAGCATGCCCTGCCAGGTTAGCCTTGTTTTCTCTAGTAGATAAGGTCACTTTACTGGCTAACCAAAAGAATACGTAGCATACTGTACCTAGATTTGAACAAAATGCCAAAACATTTCATAGCATCTTTGAGGGCAAGATGGAGTTATATGGGTTGGATGATAATACAAGTTGATAGAATCATAACGGATTCAACCAACCTTATCCAAACATAATTTCAAAACAGAGAGATGTCTTTACTGAGTGGTGCATCTTGCATTTGACAACAAATATTTACTAAGCAATTACTGTGTGCAATCACTGGGTTTGGTACTGGCTATTCCTTCTTAAGATTTTACACATAAATGTCTTAGAGATAGGGAAAACAGGAGAATTTACATACAATACTCATCAGAGAGCGAGCCTCTGTCAGGATCCCAAGTAATAACAGGAATGATGGGCTAAATCAGAGCATGTTTAGTAGGGGCAATTGTAAAGGTCTGCTCATTAGGCAGGAGGAATGGCAGCAACTTTGATGCAGGAAAAAAAAAAAAAAAGCTCTGTGTCAGGATTCCAAACAGCTGGGCCAGTTTCAGGTCTTCCCTTTATTAGCAGTCTCTACTTAGGCAAGACACAACCTCTTTGTGTCAGTTTCCCCATCCAGAAATGGAAACAAAATCTGCATTTTAGAAAGAACGGATGATTTAGATGGTAAAATATAAAACACTAATATAAAACTAGAGACTACCATGATGTTAAAAAAAAATCTTTTTATTTTCTCCTTAAAAAAAGGAACATAAAAAAGAAGTGACTGATATGAAATACATTATACCTTCTCTGCAGCTATAAAAGAAGGGAAGAAAGCATGTTAGATACTAAAAAAGTGTATGTAGGTGTTTGTTTTTTTATTTATAAAATGTCTCTGAAAGAAAAGAATCCAGATTGAAAGGAAGAAGTAAAACTGGTTTTATTTACAAATGACATGATCTTCTCTGTAGAAAATACTAAGGAATCCACAAAGAACTAGAACTAATAACCAAGGTTACCTAGGTTGCAGAACATAAGATTAATAAGATAAAAAATCAATTGTATTTCTATGTTCTAGCAAGTGACAACCTGAAAATAAAATTAAGAAAACTATCTCACTCGCAATAGCATCAAAAAGAAAAAAATATTTAGGAATAAAGTTAACAAAAGAAGTGCAAGGTTTGCACATTAAAAACTAGAAAACATTGCTGGGAGAGATCAGAGGTCAATATAAATGGTGAGACATTCACCGTACATGGATTGGAAGTTTCAAAATTGTTAGGATGGCAATTATCCCCAAATTAATCTGTAGATTCTACACAATCTCTATCAAAATTCTAGCAAGCATTTTTCAAGAAATCTACAAAATGATCTCAACTTTATATGGAAATGGCAAGGACCACAAGAACCAAAAGTTACTGAAAAAAAAAAGAGAGGTAGAGGACTTACATTTCGTGATTTCAAATCTTAAAAAGTTACAGCAATCAAGGCATTGTGGTATTGATATAAGGATAGATACAGATTGGCTGGGCACAGTGGCTCATGCCTGTAATCCCAGCACTTTGGGAGGCTGAGGCAGGTGGATGAGGAAGTCAGGAGTTTGAGACCAGCCTGGCCAATGTGGTGAAACCCGGTCTCTACTAAAAATACAAAAATTAGCTGGGCCCACGTGGTGGTGTGCACCTGTAGTCCCAGCTACTCGGGAGGCTGAAGCAGAAGAATCGCTTAAACGTGGGAGGCAAAGGCTGCAGTAAGCTGAGATTGCACCACTGCACTCCAGCCTGGACAACGGAGTGAGACTCTGTTTTAAGGGGGAAAAAAAAAAAAAAAAAAAGATATAGACATATCAATGGAAGAGAATGAAAATTCCAAATGAAGTCTTACATATGTGATCAATTAGTTTTCAACAAAGGGGCCAAAGCAACTAATTGGAGAAAATAATATTCTTTTGAACAAATAATGCTGGGACAATTAAATATCCCTATGCAAAGAGATGAAGTTAGACAACGCACCATACACAAAAAGTGTACTAAAAATGGACTGTAGACCTAAACATAATAATTAAAACAATAAACTTTTGATGAAAAACATAGGAGAACATCTCTGTGACTTTGGTTAGGCAAACAGTTCTTGAATATAACACCCCAAGTACAATCCACAATCCATAAAAGAAACAGTTTAAACTGGACTTCGTCATTACTGTATTAAAATCATTTGCACTTCAAAAGCCACAACCTGGGAGAAATTATTTACAAAAAATACATCTGATAAAGGACTTGTAACCAGAGTATATAGAGAGCTCTTTCAACTCAGTAGGAAGATAACCTAATTTTAAAATGGGTGAAAAGATTTAAAAAGACACTTCATCAAAGAAGATGTAAGAGTGGCCAGTAAGCACACAAAATGTTCAATATCATCAGTCATTAGGGAAATTCAAATTAAACTCACAAGATACCAGTTCACACCCAGTAGAATGGCTATAAATAAAAAGGTGGACAACTGCAAGTGTTGACAAGGAAGTGGAGAAACCGAAACCCTCACACGTTGCAGGAAAGAATGTAAAATGATACAGCCACTTTGGAAAAACACTGTGGCAATTTCTGATAAAGTTAAACATAAACCTATTGTATGACCGACCAATTTCACTCCTGAGTAAAAACCCAGAAGAAATGAAAATGTATGCCCACACAAAACTTTTACACAAGTATTAATAGCAGCATTCACATTATTCAAAAAAATCAAACAATCCAAATGTCCATCAACTGAAAGATAAGCAAAATGTGGTATATCCATAAAATGGAATACTATTCAGCAACAAAAAGGAACCACTGATGCATACTACAGCACGGATGAACCTTGAAATCATTATGTTAACAAAAAAAGGCAGATGCAAAAGACCACATCGGATGCTATATACATTAAATCTCCAGAAGAGGGAGAAGGCAGATGAGAGGTTGCCTGGGGCTGGGAATGAGGATTGACTGCAAAGGGGTACAAGGGACCTTTTGGTAATGACAGAAATGTTCTAAAACTGGATTGTGGTGATGATTGCGAAACTCTGTAAATTTACTAAAAGTTAACTGTATACTTAAAATGGATGAAATTTTATGGTATACCTCTGGGAAGGAGTGTTGGGTGCTGGGGAACAGGAGTAGGAAGGACACTCCTGATCAAATATTTTGTACATGCGGTTGTACTGTATTACCAGTTCAAGAAATGAGAATAAACAAAACAAAAACTTGTGGGGAAGGGTGTGGCAGTAAAGATTTAAGGAGTTCAACAGGAATAACATACGTTAGGCCACAGACATGGTCCAGCCACTGAATGAAGGTGGTAAGTTGTGTTGGTCAACACGTTCTCACTACCTGAAGCACAACAAGCTTAGCTGAGAGGGACATATTTAAAAACAAGACACCAACAAACTTATACCCAGGAAAGCTGCCAAACTCAGAAAGGAGAGCAGAAACCACAGCCCATGTGGAACTGTTCATGGAGTGAGGACCTGAGAGAAAACACATCAGGAAAGGAGGCCCGAGAGGCAGAGGGCTAGGTCTGTTTCCTGTGCCTTCGGAGAGCAGCTCTGAGAGCAGAGCCAGATACTCCAATGCAAGGAGATATTGGATCTAAGTTAAAGCCTTTGATAACTGCAGCCTTAGGCAAATGGAACTGCTACCCCATAAGCAGCACGTGAGAGGTGGAGCTACTAGAGGGTGGCCTGTCATTTGGTGCAGCATGTGAGAGGTGGAGCTACTAGAGGGTGGCCTGTCATTTGGTGCAGCACGTGAGAGGTGGAGCTACTAGAGGGTGGCCTGTCATTTGGTGCAGATGCAGCAGAAGTGTTGATGGCAGTGGGTAGGATCACAGGACTCCAAGAGTCCCTTCCAAGTCTGAGTTTCTGTGAACATC